GCGGGGTGATGGAACGAGGGAGAATGGGGCGTGGTGATGGAAAGCCGGAGAACGGGGCGGGGTGATGGAAAGCGGGAAAATGGGGCGGGGTGATGGAAAGCGGGAGAATGGGGCTGGGTGATGGAAGGAGGGAGAATGGGGAGGGGTGATGGAAGGAGGGAGAATGGGGCGGGGTGATGGAAAGCGAGAGAATGGGGCGGGGAGATGGAAAGAGGAAGAATGGGGCTGGGTGATGGAAAGCGGGAGAATGGGGCGGGGTGATGGAAAGCGGGAGAATGGGGTGGGGTGATGGAAAGCGGGAGAACGGGGCGGGGTGATGGAAAGCGGGAGAATGGGGCGGGGTGATGGAAAGCAGGAGAATGGGGAGGGGAGATGGAAGGAGGGAGAATGGGGCGGGGTGATGGAAGGAGGGTGAATGGGGCGGGGTGATGGAAAGCGGGAGAATGGGGCGGGGTGATGGAAGGAGGGAGAATGGGGCGGGGTGATGGAAAGCGGGAGAATGGGGCGGGGTGATGGAAGGAGGGAGAATGGGGCGAGGTGATGGAAAGCGGGAGAATGGGGCGGGTGATGGAAAGTGGGAGAATGGGGCGGGGTGATGGAAAGCGGGAGAATGGGGCGGGGTGATGGAAGGGAGGGAGAAAGGGGCGGGGTGATGGAAGGAGGGAGAATGGGGCGCGGTGATGGAAAGCGGGAGAATGGGGCAGGGTGATAGAAAGCGGGAGAATGGGGCGGGGTGATGGAAAGCGGGAGAATGGGGCGGGGTGATGGAAAGTGGGAGAATGGGGCGGGGTGATGGAAGGAGGGAGAATGGGGCGGGGTGATCGAAAGCGGGAGAATAAAGCGGGGTGATGGAAAACGGGAGAATGGGGCGGGGTGACGGAAGGAGGAAGAATGGGACGGGGTGATGGAAAGCGGGAGAATGGGGCGGGGTGATGGAAAGTGAGAGATTGGGGCGGGGCGATGGAAAGCGGGAGAATGGGGCGGGGTGATGGAAAGCGGGAGAATGGGGCGGGATGATGGAAAGCGGGAGAATGGGGCGGGGTGATGGAAGGAGGGAGAATGGGACGGGGTGATGGAAAGCGGGAGAATGTTGCGGGTTGATGGAAAGCGGAAGAATGGGGCGGGGTGATGGAAAGCGGGAGAATGGGGCGGGGCGATGGAAAGCGGGAGAATGGGGCGGGGTGATGGAAAGCGGGAGAATGGGGCGGGGTGATGGAAGGAGGGAGAATGGGGCGGGGTGATGGAAGGAGGGAGAATGGGGCGGGGTGATGGAAGGAGGGAGAATGGGGAGGGGTGATGGAAAGCGGGAGAATGGGGCGGGGTGATGGAAAGCGGAAGAATGGGGCGGGGTGATGGAAAGCAGGAGAATGGGGCGGGGTGATGGAAAGCTGGAGAATGGGGCGGGGTGATGGAAAGCGGGAGAATGGGGCGGGGTGATGGAAAGCGGGAGAATGGGGCGGGGTGATGGAAAGCGGGAGAATGGGGCGGGGTGATGGAAGGAGGGAGAATGGGGCGGGGTGATGGAAAGCGGGAGAATGGGGCGGGGTGATGGAAGGAGGGAGAATGGGGCGAGGTGATGGAAAGCGGGAGAATGGGGCGGGTGATGGAAAGTGGGAGAATGGGGCGGGGTGATGGAAAGCGGGAGAATGGGGCGGGGTGATGGAAGGAGGGAGAAAGGGGCGGGGTGATGGAAGGAGGGAGAATGGGGCGCGGTGATGGAAAGCGGGAGAATGGGGCAGGGTGATAGAAAGCGGGAGAATGGGGCGGGGTGATGGAAAGCGGGAGAATGGGGCGGGGTGATGGAAAGTGGGAGAATGGGGCGGGGTGATGGAAGGAGGGAGAATGGGGCGGGGTGATCGAAAGCGGGAGAATAAAGCGGGGTGATGGAAAACGGGAGAATGGGGCGGGGTGACGGAAGGAGGAAGAATGGGACGGGGTGATGGAAAGCGGGAGAATGGGGCGGGGTGATGGAAAGTGAGAGATTGGGGCGGGGCGATGGAAAGCGGGAGAATGGGGCGGGGTGATGGAAAGCGGGAGAATGGGGCGGGATGATGGAAAGCGGGAGAATGGGGCGGGGTGATGGAAGGAGGGAGAATGGGACGGGGTGATGGAAAGCGGGAGAATGTTGCGGGTTGATGGAAAGCGGAAGAATGGGGCGGGGTGATGGAAAGCGGGAGAATGGGGCGGGGCGATGGAAAGCGGGAGAATGGGGCGGGGTGATGGAAAGCGGGAGAATGGGGCGGGGTGATGGAAGGAGGGAGAATGGGGCGGGGTGATGGAAGGAGGGAGAATGGGGCGGGGTGATGGAAGGAGGGAGAATGGGGAGGGGTGATGGAAAGCGGGAGAATGGGGCGGGGTGATGGAAAGCGGAAGAATGGGGCGGGGTGATGGAAAGCAGGAGAATGGGGTGGGGTGATGGAAAGCTGGAGAATGGGGCGGGGTGATGGAAAGCGGGAGAATGGGGCGGGGTGATGGAAAGCGGGAGAATGGGGCGGGGTGATGGAAAGTGGGAAAATGGGGCGGGGTGATGGAAGGAGGGAGAATGGGGCGGGGTGATGGAAAGCGGGAGAATGGGGCGGGGTGATGGAAGGAGGGAGAATGGGGCGAGGTGATGGAAAGCGGGAGAATGGGGCGGGTGATGGAAAGTGGGAGAATGGGGCGGGGTGATGGAAAGTGAGAGATTGGGGCGGGGTGACGGAAGGAGGAAGAATGGGACGGGGTGATGGAAAGCGGGAGAATGGGGCGGGGTGATGGAAAGTGAGAGATTGGGGCGGGGCGATGGAAAGCGGGAGAATGGGGCGGGGTGATGGAAAGCGGGAGAATGGGGCGGGATGATGGAAAGCGGGAAAATGGGGCGGGGTGATGGAAGGAGGGAGAATGGGACGGGGTGATGGAAAGCGGGAGAATGTTGCGGGTTGATGGAAAGCGGAAGAATGGGGCGGGGTGATGGAAAGCGGGAGAATGGGGCGGGTTGATAGAAAGCGGGAGAATGGGGCGGGGCGATGGAAAGCGGGAGAATGGGGCGGGGTGATGGAAAGCAGGAGAATGGGGCGGGGTGATGGAAAACGGGAGAATGGGGCGGGGTGACGGAAGGAGGAAGAATGGGACGGGGTGATGGAAAGCGGGAGAATGGGGCGGGGTGATGGAAAGTGAGAGATTGGGGCGGGGCGATGGAAAGCGGGAGAATGGGGCGGGGTGATGGAAAGCGGGAGAATGGGGCGGGATGATGGAAAGCGGGAAAATGGGGCGGGGTGATGGAAGGAGGGAGAATGGGACGGGGTGATGGAAAGCGGGAGAATGTTGCGGGTTGATGGAAAGCGGAAGAATGGGGCGCGGTGATGGAAAGCGGGAGAATGGGGCGGGTTGATAGAAAGCGGGAGAATGGGGCGGGGCGATGGAAAGCGGGAGAATGGGGCGGGGTGATGGAAAGCAGGAGAATGGGGCGGGGTGATGGAAGGAGGGAGAATGGGGCGGGGTGATGGAAGGAGGGAGAATGGGGCGGGGTGATGGAAGGAGGGAGAATGGGGCGGGGTGATGGAAAGCGGGAGAATGGGGCGGGGTGATGGAAAGCGGAAGAATGGGGCGGGGTGATGGAAAGCAGGAGAATGGGGCGGGGTGATGGAAAGGGGGAGAATGGGGCGGGGTGATGGAAAGCGGGAGAATGGGGCGGGGTGATGGAAAGCGGGAGAATGGGGCGGGGTGATGGAACGAGGGAGAATGGGGCGTGGTGATGGAAAGCCGGAGAACGGGGCGGGGTGATGGAAAGCGGGAAAATGGGGCGGGGTGATGGAAAGCGGGAGAATGGGGCTGGGTGATGGAAGGAGGGAGAATGGGGAGGGGTGATGGAAGGAGGGAGAATGGGGCGGGGTGATGGAAAGCGAGAGAATGGGGCGGGGAGATGGAAAGAGGAAGAATGGGGCTGGGTGATGGAAAGCGGGAGAATGGGGCGGGGTGATGGAAAGCGGGAGAATGGGGTGGGGTGATGGAAAGCGGGAGAACGGGGCGGGGTGATGGAAAGCGGGAGAATGGGGCGGGGTGATGGAAAGCAGGAGAATGGGGAGGGGAGATGGAAGGAGGGAGAATGGGGCGGGGTGATGGAAGGAGGGTGAATGGGGCGGGGTGATGGAAAGCGGGAGAATGGGGCGGGGTGATAGAAGGAGGGAGGGGCGGGGTGATGGAAAGAGGGAGAATGGGGCGGGGTGATGGAAGGAGGGAGAATGGGGCGGGGTGATGGAAAGCGGGAGAATGGGGCGGGGTGATGGAAAGCGGGAGAATGGGGCGGGGTGATGGAAAGCGAGAGAATTGGGCGGGGTGATGGAAAGCGGGAGAATGGGGCGGGGTGATGGAAGGAAGGAGAATGGGGCGGGGTGATGGAAAGCGGGAGAATGGGGCGGGGTGATGGAAGGAGGGAGAATGGGGCGGGGTGATGGAAGGAGGGAGAATGGGGCGAGGTGATGGAAAACGGGAGAATGGGGCGGGGCGATGGAAATCGGAGAATGGGGCGGGGTGATGGAAAGCGGAAGAATGGGGCGGGGTGATGGAAAGCGGGAGAATGGGGCGGGGTGATGGAAAGCTGGAGAATGGGGCGGGGTGATGGAAAGCGGGAGAATGGGGCGGGGTGATGGAAAGCGGGAGAATGGGGCGGGGTGATGGACAGCGGGAGAATGGGGCGGGGTGATAGAAGTAGGGAGAATGGGGCGGGGTGATGGAAAGCGGGAGAATGGGGCGGGGTGATGGAAGGAGGGAGAATGGGGCGGGGTGATGGAAAGCGGGAGAATGGGGCGGGGTGATGGAAAGCGGGAGAATGGGGCGGGGTGATGGAAAGCGAGAGATTGGGGCGGGGCGATGGAAAGCGGGAGAATGGGGCGGGGTGATGGAAAGCAGGAGAATGGGGCGGGATGATGGAAAGCAGGAGAATGGGGCGGGGTGATGGAAGGAGGGAGAATGGGACGGGGTGATGGAAAGCGGAAGAATGGGGCGGGGTGATGGAAAGCGGGAGAATGGGGCGGGTTGATGGAAAGCGGGAGAATGGGGCGGGGCGATGGAAAGCGGGAGAGTGGGGCGGGGTGATGGAAAGCGGGAGAATGGGGCGGGGTGATGGAAGAAGGGAGAATGGGGCGGGGTGATGGAAGGACGAAGAATGGAGCGGGTTGATGGAAGGGTTTAGGGTTTAGGGTGAATGGGGAGAATGGGGCAAGGTGATGGAATGCTCCTGCTTTCCATCACCCCGCCCCATTCCCCCGCTTTCCATCAACCCGCCCCATTCTCCTGCTTTCCATCACCCCGCCCCATTCTCCCTCCTTCCATCACCCCGCCCCATTCTCCTTCCTTCCATCACCCCGCCCCATTCTCCCGGTTTCCATCACCCCGCCCCATGCTCCTGCTTTCCATCACCGCGCCCCATTCTCCCGCTTTCCATCACCCCGCCCCATTCTCCCTCCTTCCATCACCCCGCCTCATTCTCCCTCCTTCCATCACCCCGCCCCATTCTCCCGCTTTCCATCACCCCGCCCCATTCTCCCGCTTTACTTCACCCCGCCCCATTTTCCCGCTTTCCATCACCCTGCCCCATTCTCCCGCTTTCCATCACCCCTCCCCATTCTCCCGCTTTCCATCACCCCGCCCCATTCTCCCTCCTTCCATCACCCCGCCCCATTCTCCCGCTTTCCATCACCCCGCTCCATTCTCCCTCCTTCCATCACCCCGCCCCATTCTCCCTCCTTTCATCACCCCGCTCCATTCTCCCGCTTTTCATCACCCCGCCCCATTCCCCCGCTTTCCATCACCCCGCCCCATTCTCCCGCTTTCCATCACCCCGCCCCAATCTCCCGCTTTCCATCACCCCGCCCCATTCTTCCGCTTTCCATCACCCCGCCCAATTTTTCCGCTTTCCATCATCCCGCCCCATTCTCCCGCTTTCCATCAACCCGCCCCATTCTCCCGCTTTCCATCACCCCGCCCTAATCTCCCGCTTTCCATCCCCATTCTCCCACTTTCTATCCCCATTCTCCCGCTTTCCATCACTCTGCCCCATTCTCCCGCTTTCCATCACCCCGCCCCATTCTCCCTCTTTCCATCACCCCGCCCCATTGTCCCGCTTTCCATCACTCCGCCGCATTCTCCCTCCTTCCATCACCCCGCCCCATTTTCCCTCCTTCCATCACCCCGCCCCATTCTCCCGCTTTCCATCACCCCGCCCCATTCTCCTGCTTTCCATCACCCCGCCCCATTCTCCCTCCTTCCATCACCCCGCCCCATTCTCCCTCCTTCCACCACCCCACCCCATTCTCCCGCTTTCCATCACCCCGCCCCATTCTCCTGCTTTCCATCACCCTGCCTCATTCTCCCGCTTTCCATCACCCCGCCCCATTCTCCCTCCTTCCATCACCCCGCCCCATTCTCCCTCCTTCCACACCCCGCCCCATACTCCCGCTTTCCATCACCCCGCCCCATTCTCCCGCTTTCCATAACCCCGCCCCATTCTCCCTCCTTCCATCACCCCGCCCCATTCTCCCTCCTTCCATCACCTTGCCCCATTCTCCCGCTTTCCATCACCGCGCCCCATTCTCCCGCATTCCATCACCCCGCCCCATTCTCCTGCTTTCCATCACCCCGCCCCATTCTCCCGCTTTCCATCACCCCGCCCCATTCTCCCTCCTTCCATCACCCCGCCCCATTCTCCCTCCTTCCATCACCCCGCCCCATTCTCCCGCTCTCCATAACCCCGCCCCATTCTCCCGCTTTCCATCACCCCGCCCCATTCTCCCGCTTTCCATCACCCCGCCCCATCCTCCCGCTTTCCATCACCCGGCCCCATTCTCCCGCCTTCCATCACCCCGCCCCATTCTCCCTCCTTCAATCACCCTGCCCCATTCTCCCTCCTTCCATCACCCCGCTCCATTCTCCCGCTTTCCATCACCCCGCCCCATTCTCCAGCTTGTTATAGTCACAATAGGCTTGAATGTGCCTAAAACGAAAGATAGAGAGCACAGACGGATTTCTGCACAGCGGCTTCAAACGTTGATAGCGTTCTGCTCACAGCTGCAAATGACTTGATTCAAATTGGATCTGGAGCGTCTTCACGTCGTCTACAATTAGCAATTTAGATTGCACGATTTGATAAAGAATTGACGACACAGCGTCGGTTTGAACGAACGGTACTATGGCAGCCACTATAGTCTTAGAACACAAGATATTAAGAGTTACGAGTTGGGAATGACTCCCAGCTCCTACAAACCCCAAGAGCCGAGGTACAGTGATGTGGAACAGTGCCACACTGTCCCCAACCACGAAGGGTCTCGAAACTACCCTTCACTAGGGCCTACACCAAGTGAAATGTTACACTACACAAAGTAATGTAACTATCTTCAATATCTTGAGGTGTACCCTTTTTGGCGAGCTTCGAAATCACTTGAGGCTTGACACCAAGGCTCGGGCTCTTCATCACAAACTCATCCTTGAGTTCTTGATGGGTCTGCTGCACACACCTGCGACACGCCGAACGTTCGACACAGGACAAAATAGAAACCGCGCACGACAAAATAGAAACCGCGCGCGAGACACAAACGACCGCGTAACACGCGTCTAGCGATAACTCGCTATTGACCCGACACACACACTCGACATCATGACTCAACATTCACACACAATTATAAGCATGAAATATATATTATCCCATGCCCTCATACCATTCCATACACACACACATTTACGCACACGGACAACAAGCCGAGTGCAAACCGTAGGGTTGCACCAACAAACTCCCCCTCGGATTGTTGGCCTTAGGATATGTTGCTCTCTCAGTTCAGAGCCATCCCAGCCAGCTTGCAACACTTCCAATGCTGCTGCTCCACCAGCCTCTTGGTCATCATGTCAGCCGGCTGCCCCGTGGTCTTCACGTAGCGCAACTCAACTTCACCCGCGGTTACCATGCTCCTCGTCCAATGCCACTTCACCCTCATGTGCTTCGTGAGTCCATGCAACACAGGGTTCTTAGCAAGAGAAATGGCACCCTTGCTGTCACAGTACAGTGGGGTAGGTCCTTGCTGCTCCTCCCCCAATTCAGCCAACAAACGCCGCTGCCACACAATCTCCCGTACGGCACGGAAGAGTGCCATGTACTCGGACTCCACCGAGCTCAAAGCTTGGTCAACCTGCTTCTTGCTCTCCCAAGCAGTTGGGCCTCCACCAACACAGCATATGAAGCCTCCCACACTTGTCATGTCCTCTGGTTCTGATGCATATGAAGCATCCGAGTAGGCGGTGAGGAACAAACGCCCGGGTTCAACACCACCCGCGCCCTTTTGGCGCCTTTGTGCCGCCGCCGAGTATTGCAGCCCAACGGTCGGTGTTTGGCCAAGATACTTGGCCACCCTCATTCCAGCTGCTACCTGCTCCTCATTAGGGCATTGCACAACCCTAGCCAGCTGCCCGGTAGCAAACGCGACGTCCGGTCGGGAATTTACCGCCGCATACATGAGGCTGCCCACCAACGAGTGAAATCGGCGCCTCTCCTCTTCACCAACGCTCTCCTCCTCTGGTCCCTTCACACACTTGAACCCAGAGGGAAAGGGTGTAGCCACATGGCCTTCACTCTGCCCAAAGTTGGCAGCCAATGCCTCCAGGTACTTTCGTTGATGCACCCGCATGCACCGCTTCTCCACATCTCGTTCGATGTGGAGCCCAAGGTAGAAGCTCACGTCACCAAGGGCCTTGCACTTGAACTTGTCTTGAAGCTTCAGCATCACCTCCTTCACAAGGTCAGAAGAGGGTGAGAAAATGAGGATGTCATCCACATAAACCACCATGAAACTCCTCTGCTCCCCCTCGCCAAGCATGAACAAGGAGTGATCGGCCGTTGAGGGAGTGAAGCCGATCCCCTCCAACACTTCGCGCAGCTTCATGTACCATTGCCTAGGGGCCTGCTTCAGCCCATAGAGGGCCTTCTTCAGCTTCCACACTCTGCCACTACCATCATCAAACCCCTCTGGCTGCGCCATAAAAATCTCCTCCTCAAGGATGCCGTTAAGGAATGCCGTTACGATGTCCATTTGCTTTACTACCCATCCTTTGATGGCGGCTCCCGCGAATAGGGTTCGCAGCGTCGTCGGCTTCACCACAGGGGCAAACAGCTCCTTGAAGTCCACCTTCTCCTTCTGCTGGTACCCCTTGGCTACAAGCCTAGAATTGTAGCGCTCGATCTTGCCGTCGGCATCCGACTTGATTTTGAAGAGCCACTTGGACGTTATCGCCGTACGCCCCTCCGGTAGCTCCACCAATTCAAACGTGTCATTCTCCTCGATGCTCTTCAGCTCACTCTCCATGGCCTTCTTCCACTCCTCAGCATCACTACTCTCCAACGCCTCCTTGAGAGTTGCTGGTTCTCCCGGCATCTCCACCGGAGAGAAGAACGCGAAGGCACACTCCTCGTAGTCACTCTCCTCGTCGTCTCCGACCATCATTGCCGCTACGGCCAGGGCTGTCTTGCCCTGCTTTCCCGGCGCATCATAGGTCAGCCTATTAGGGGGTTGAAATCTCCTCTTCCCCCTTCCTTCCTCCTCAGCTGCAGGGACTTGAAGGCCTTGGCGTTGCTGCGGTGTGGCTCGAATCCGTGGAGCACTCGTAGTACGGGAAGGGAGTGACGGTGCACGCTCGCTCACTTGCTGCACCTCCTCCTCTTCTTCCTCTGCATCATTGGCCTCCTCTCCCCCATTCACAAGGGAGGATTGCCTTGTGGTTGTGCTGCCGCTGCTCAGCTCCAAAGGCAGCTCCACATGCTCCAAACCGGAACTCTTCACCTCCCCAAACCGCACGCCTATCTTCGCCTCATTCTCCGCCTTCCAATCCTTGTACATGAAGTTCTCCATGAACTTGCAGTCCCTGCTCACCAAGAACTTCTTGGTAAATGGGTCCCAAAGAAGCCATCCCTTGCTGTTTTGAGCCATGCCCAAGTGCACGGCCCACACCGCCTTGGCACCAAGCTTGTTGTGCCGAAGATGCTTAGGCACGAGCGCCATGCACATGCACCCGAACACCCGAAGCATATCCACCTTTGGCTTCCTTCCTAGCCACTCCACATAGGGCACCCATTTGTCTGCTCCCACATGAGTCAAGGCTCTGTTCTTGGCCACACACGCGCTCCGCACCGCATCAGGCCAGAAATAGTCGGGTAGCCCGGCTTCAATGAGCAACCCGCGTGCCGCCTCCGTGATTGTGCGGTTCGCTCGCTCGGCGATGCCGTTCATTGCAGGGGAGTATGGCATGGTGAGGGAGTGCCGAATACCATTCTTCTTCAGCCACAACCCAAACTCCTAGCTCAGGAACTCTCCCCCTCGATCGGTGCGGATTGACTTGACTAGACGGTCTTGTTGCCGCTCCACCATCGGAAACCAATCCGTCTTCAACGTTTCAGCCACGTCGCTCTTCTTGGCCAGCACGTACACCCAAGTCATGCGGGTGTAGACGTCGACAATGGTGAGAAAATACTCAGCTCCAGCAGCTCCAAGCTTCAGGGGGCCCACCACGTCCATCACCACCTCATCAAGCGGTGCCTTTGCCGTTGCCTCCGAACTAGGGAACGGAAACCGGGTGAACTTGGCTTGAATGCACGTCGGGCAGCCAAGCACCTCATCGGGCTCCCCCTTCACACGTATGCCAGCAACCATCTCATTCTTCACTAGCTGCTGCAAGATGGGCAGGGCCACATGCCCCATGCGCCGATGCAAGGTGAGCCAATCACACTCCCCCGTAGCCGAAGTTGGATTGGAGAATGCCGCGCTCGCAATAGCGCCCCACATACTCTCTCCGTAGTCCTCCTCCGCTGCTGCCTCTGGGTTCTCCTCACCCTTTTGCTGCTCCTTGGTTGCTGCACCACTCTCCTTAGGTTCACTGAACTTGCTGGTCCCTCCAGGTTTGCTCTTCTTGAGCTCATTCTCCTTAGCGCGACCGTTCGCGCCATCGTCGCTACCGACCGCTCCATCCTTGGTGCTGATGCTTGCTGCCACTTGCCTCTCCTTAGGCATAGGGACCACTGGGATCTGCCACATCTCGTTGTAGACATCCCTGTCCTCATGAAGGTCCCAAAGAATTCGATCGCCAAGCCTTGCGGTGTAGGTCTTGGCTCCCTTCGAGTTCGTGTCCATGCCGGCCTTTGCCAACCGCCGCACGGAAATCAGGTTTGCAGCAAGGCTGGGCACCCAAAGCACGTTCTTGAGGCCCAACATCTTCCCATCAGCACCCTTGAACATGGCCTTGCCCATGCCTTTCACCTCTGCTCGCTGCCCCAAAGCCGATGTGACATGCTTCACCGGTGACGGCTCGAGTTCGGTGAGCAAGTCCGGGCGAGGTGTCATGCTATAGGTAGCGCCACTATCAATCACCCAATAGTCCAGGGGGTGTAGGGTCACCTTCCCCACAGCTGCTGGCTCCTCAAAGCCTTCATCCTTCTCTGGACCAGCCGGTACTTGCGTCGACACGAAGTAGAATAGACCCGGGTATCGATCGTCGCTCGGGTCCTTGTCGTTGTCTCCGCTCTTCATGTTTGCAGCTCCGCCACCGCGACCGCCACGGCCTCCACGGCCTCGTCCTCTCCCTCCTCCTGCTCCTCTACCCTCTTGGCCTTGAGCAGGGGTCCAACCATCAGGGAGTTTGTAGCAGTCGCGCCACATGTGTCCGCTCTTGTGGCAATAGTGACACTCGCCGTCGAATCGGCCGCGACCGCGTCCGTAGCTCTTGTCGTCGCTGCCGTAACCGCCACTCCTGCGGCCTCCGCCGAAGTTGCTGCCACCAAACCTTCCTCCCCCTCGTCCTCTGCCTCTTCCTCGACCATATCCACGGCCGATGCTCGCTGCCCCAGCGCCATCCGCACTCGCCAACTCACGGCGGCGGAAATCCTCTTGAAGGATAGCTCGCTTCACGTCTTCAAGCGAGAGGCGGGGCAAGTCGCGA